GAATGTCATATGTATCAATAGTTTGTTCCAGGCCGGCCCGGTGGCGCACTGGAGAGTGCGCCGCTTAGGAGCGCGGAGGCCTCCCGCGGAGGGTTCGGATCCCATGTGGAGACCGGTTCCGCTCACTGGCTGAGCGCGGTGCGGGCGCAATGCTTGGGAGTGCGGAGGCCTCCCGCGGAGGGTTCGGATCGCATGTGGAGACCGGTTCCGCTCACTGGCTGAGCGCGGTGCGGGCGCAACACCGAGGGTTGCAATCCCGTTGCCGGTCAGTAAAAAAAGGCAAAAAAGGGAAAAAAAAAAAAGTTTGTTCCTTTTTATTGCTGACCACTGTTCCATGATATGGACGTCCCACAGGAAAAAAAAAAAAAAGTTTGTTCCTTTTTATTGCTGACCACTGTTCCATGATATGGACGTCCCACAGTCTGTTTAACCATTTCGACAGTTGAAGGACATATGGGTTGTTTCCAGTTTTTGACTGTTACAAATAAAGCTGATATGAACATTCATATCCATATTATGTCTATAAACATCAGGCTTCATTTCTCTGGGATAAATGCCCAAGAGTGCCATTCCAGGGTCCTATGGCGGTTGCCTGTTCATTAACAAACTGCCACACTGTTTTCCGGAGTGCCCGCACCATTTTACATTCCCTCCACGATGTGTGAGTGATCAACCATTTTATTCTGCCAACGTGTGGTGTTACCACTGGTATTTTATTATGGCCTTTCTGATAGGCGTATAATACCTGTTGTGGTTTTAATTTGCACTTTTCTGATGGCTAATGTCATTGAATATCTTTTCATGTGCTTATTTGCCATCTGTCTGTCCTATTCAGTGAAATGTCGTTTGCCCATTTTCTAAGTGGATTATTTTTCTACTGTTGGGTTTTGAGAGCTCTTTCTATGTTGTAGATAGAGTCTCTGTTGGGTATGTGGGCTGCACGTTCTTCCTTCCAGCCTGTGGCTTGTCTCTTCATCCACCTCACTGGTGTCTTGCACAGAGCACAAGTTTTTTAATTTTGATGAGGTCCAACTTACCAGTTTTTGCTTTTATGGATCATGCTTTTGATCAAGTCTAAGAACTTTTTACCTAGCCCTAGGACCTGAAGATCTTCTATTTTTTTCCCCAAAAGTTTGATAGTTTTTTACATTTTACATTTAAATCTGCAATCTATTTTGAGTTCATTTTTGTATAAGGTGTGAAGTTTAGGTTGAAGTTAAGTTTTTGGCCTACAGATGTCCCCAGCAGGGTTTTTACAGAGGAGAA